GTTTTTTTTTTTTTTTTTTTTTTTTTAAATATATCTTTACTGATTTCAGAGAAAGAGATAGAAACATCCATGATGAGAGAATCACTGATCGGCTGCCTCCTGCATGCCCCCGACTAGGGATGGAGCCTACAACCCGGGCATGTGCCCTGACCGGGAACCAAACCTCAATCTCCTGGATCCTAGGTCGATGCTCAACCGCTGAGCCACACCCGGCTGGGCAAGACAGTGTTCTTTAGTTTAGTCTGACAACCTCTGCTGAGAGAACGTTTAGTTCAACCATCCCTGAACTAAAATCTCCCAAACAATCTCCTACTGAAATAATCCCAACTGCCATCCAGAATCTAGAGTAGGATACTACCAAAAACGCTGGTTTTTCTGAAATAAAGATTGGTTAGAGTTAAAGTCTGCATGGGTCATCAAGCAATTAAGAAAAGCTGATGCCAAAAGCTGGTGTTAGTAAACTGTAGGGGTTTTTTTGATACACTAGGAATGCAAGAAAAACAAATGAAAGGCACTCAGTCTCAACTGAAGATTTGAAAGAGCTATTAGAAGCCATCCACTCTACTCAACAGAAGTGCATACCTTTACCAAGACATGTTCCAGAGTGTTCAAGCAGCACTATTCATTCCAGCCAAAGCTGGAAACTACCAAAAAGGTCCAATACCAGTAGAATGGGTAAATAAATAGTGGTCTATTCCCACGATGGAACAATATGGGGATGAGCAATCTATAGCCATATGCAAGACTATAACCATATGGGAGACTCCCAAATGTACTGTTAAAAAGAGAATTACTGTGCTATATATAGATGTCGAATCATAATGTTGCACACCTGAAACTTATATAATGTTATAAACCAATATTATCTCAATAAATAAATAAAAGTACGGACTGATTTCAAATCCTGAGGTTGGAAATAGAACAAGGAAGTTTGCTACTTTTCCTTCTATTGAACATTGTACTGGAAGTTACAGTCAGTGCACTGCAAAAAAAATAAAGGTATAAGCTCGGAAAAGAAGAAAAGAAAGGCTAGACACAAAAGAATATATTCTGTATAATTTCACTTATAGCATATAAAAAAAAAATAATGGGTAAAACAACCTATGATATTAAAAGTCAAGATACTAGTTACCCTTGGAGGAGGAAGTGGCCAGAGGGAGCAGTAGGAACATTTTGGGGGTGCTGGTAATGTTCTGTTTCTTGATCTGGGTGCTGGTTATATACATGTACTCGGGACTTAAGAAACTGAGGCTCAGAAAGGGTACATAACTTGCTTAAGGATATAAAACCAGTAAGGAGCTGAGCCAGTTAGGCCCAAGGACCATGACTCAACTCCTTGAAATCCCATAGTCTTTCTACACTAACAGAAAAAGAAAAATAACTTGCTATGACTGATTGGGAAAAAAAAATCACTCTCCATAATGTTAAACACTTATCTATGTGTTTTGGTAGAGATTATGCAAAGGAGTTAAACAAGAGGTCAGATCAACTCATGGAAATGGAAACAGAAACTGTAGTTGTCTGTAAACTGGGGTAACATGCATCTCAGGGTGACTGTGGGACTCAATGAGGTAACAAATGGAGAAGGACAACACAGATGGAAGGGATGATGTTATTTTGTCCAAAGAAATAAACTATTGCTGTGGAGGTAGCTCTGGGAGACATAATCTCAGAAACTAGAGCAGCAGGAAATTGCCACCTCTCTCCTAGTTAATCAGGGACCAATATGTACACATTTCATCACAGTGAACTATCTGATTGACGGTGTTAAGTGTGAGGGACGAGGAACTGTGGACAACAGTAAAGTGAGTCTTAACACATACCCATGTTATTCCACCTATCCAAAGTACGGAAATAACATTTTACACGCTGGAGTTCCAAACCAACAAGCTACTCAGAGGAAACATATAGTTAAGGAGGAAAAGACACTTTTGTCACCTGCAACATTAGTCCACAATTCTAAATCAATCATCCCCATCTTTACTGGAGGCTGTGAAAGATCCAGCTTCTAAAAAAAAAATGAGCCTCTAGCAGAAAGCACACCACATGCTGTTTGTCCTCACACCTTAGCCTCTCATTTACAAACAACTTCCTCCAGGAGGATCTGAAAGCTAAACTTGTCCAGAATGGGTAGGATTCACAGCAGCAGCAAGAAGGTATAAAGATTGGTCCTTTCACACCTGGGCCGTCAGTGCACTGTCGTGCCTCCTGCGGCAGCTTCTCCCCAGGCTCAGGATAACAAGCCCCCAAGAAGCAAGGTAAGGCAGATGGGGGAATCATGGAAGGTGTGACATGAATGATGACCTTTGTAATCAGTTCACCTCTTTTAACATTATACCCCTGTGGTCTATTAGAAAGGCTTTATTTTTACTAATCTGACTAGACAAGTAAACAAGATGTTGCAAGGAGGTCAAGAGCCAGTTTTGACCATGTCTTTCCCACAAAATAATTGAAAGCCATTGCTCTTCCTGCACGCGCATTACCCAACACGCCACCAGGCACGAAGTAAAGAACGTTCGTTCATTCAATCAACAAATATGTACCAAAGCAAGTAAGTAGAAAGCAGTAGGCAGTTCTGGCGGCAGACGCGAATCATATTCTAATAGCCAACTGCCTACTTAACTTCTCCACTTGGGTGCCCAAAAAGCATCTCTAGACTTAACAGGGCCAAAATGTAATTTTTTTTTAACCACTGAGAAAAAAAATTAAGTTTTTATTTAAGATAACAATAATAAATCCACTACATATTAATATAAATAGCATTTTTTAATGAAAACTAATTTTCCAAAAAATAAAATTAGTGAGCAAGTGACGTTTTACACTACAACTCTCCTTAATGTCTGGCTTCATAGAAGACAACCAGATTCTCACATCTTCTCCATTCAACCTGTTGTGATATATTGTTTTGGTTGAAATATAAGAAGAAAATCAGACTTCCCACAGATGTGTAGTTGGAAAGGGAGAATTTTAATAGTCTTTTCAGGTAATTCAAAACATAACTCTTTACCCATACCCTCCCCCTTCCCACACCTAAGGTTCCCTAAATACTTCCAATCTCAGTACAGGGCTCCAGCACCCACTGTGAAAACAGTGACATCTATGAGTCCTGCTTCCTTCACCCACTCACCCTTCATACCCACGCAGCTGCACTTGTTCACTCCAACTCCCAAACTTATCCATTTCTCTCTATTGCACAGCTCTGCTGGTCCAAAACATCATCCCTCCTGCTTCCTAACTTGATTCTTCCATCTCCCCCACCCACATACAAGTCTGTCCTCAGAGCAGTCAAGGCAATCTTGTCAATCCTTTATTCAAAGGCTCGAAGCCTTCCTGGTGTCTTTGAAGGAAGGTCCAAACCACAAGGCCCTGCCCTCCCCTGCCCTACCCAGCGCCCGCCGCCCTTTCCACCCTCCCCCGCCTGCGCTCACCCCTGGCTACGCCAGTCTCATCCCGTCCTCGTTCCCGCAGCCGACCCCGTAGAGCCATCCAGTCTTCGGCCTGTCTCTAGGGCCTGCCTCTAAGCTTGTTATTATTGCTTCTTCCTGGAAGGCTGTTCCCAGAGCCAGAGCTTCCCAGAGCTGGCTCCTCATCATTCAGACTTCAGTTCAGATATCTTCTTTGAGGCTTTGTGGAGCACTCTATCAAATGACACACCCCTTAAGCCACTTTCCAGCACATGACTCTATGTTCTTCACAGGAGCCGCAACTTCTTCTGTCTTATTCACTATTGTACCACCAGTGTCCAATAATGTCCAAGCAGTGAACCAATGCACAAGTGCCTGCTATGTGCCAGCCACTATTCTAGGTCACAAAGACAGTGCTAAACAAGACAAAGATCTGGCTCTCATGGAGACTTATTTTCTGATGGTAAGTGAACTAACAAATACCAAGGGGTGATACGTACAAAAGATATTAAGGGTAAGCGACACAAAGTAAAGAAGGGGTACTACTTTATGTTGGGCAATCAGATAAGGCCTTTCCAAGTAAGACGGTATTTGGGCACAGACATGAAGGTGGTAAGGAGGGAAACCATGGTTCTCTCTCTCAAGCAGAGAAACAATGTGTGCAAACAGCCCAGAGGAGCGATCAAGTGAGCTGCTGAAGAAACAGCTAGGATTCCAATGAGGACCCTAATGTGCAAGATGGAGAGTAGTAGATGGGGTCAGAGGGGCAGTAAGGCGTTGCAGGATACCGAAAGGACTTCATTTCACTCGTGTCAAGTTGAGAAAACACTGGAAGGTTCTGGGCAGAGGACTGACAGGACCTGATTTATGTGTTAGAAGGATCACTCCAGCTGTCTAGAGAAAAGACTGAAAGGAACAGGCTGGAACGATAATGGCTTGCAATGCAGAATGAAAAGGTACTGTATTCTGGTTATATGTCTAACGTAAACAGAATTTGCTGACAGACTGTGGAGTGTGAGAAAAAGAGAAGGACAACTCCATGATTGTTAGCTTGAGCTCCTGTAATAATAGTGTTTCTATTTATTTCTAGGGCAAAGGGGAAAAGGGTTTCAGTTTGGGACATATTAAGTTTGAGATATCTATCAGTCACCCAAGTAGTAATTTCAAATAGATGGCTGGATGTACAAGTCTGCAAATTAGGAGACAGATCTGAACTAAAAATATATTTGTATTTAAGAGTCTTCAGTTTATAGAAAGTATTTAAAGCCATGAAGCTAAATGACAGCTGGCCAGAGGGTAGAGAAGAGGTCCCATACCTGGTCCCTGGGGCTCATCATAACATCTAAAGGTCACGAAGATGAGGAACCAGCAAAGGGGATTAAGAAATAGCCAGTGAAGAGGGGGGACAACAAGAGGATATTATTCACAGGCCAAATAATGTGTTGAAATTAACATCAGATCTTAGTATCACCCCTGCCACTGATTAAAGATTTAAATCACAGAATCCAGTGAATAAAGACAATTTCCAGGAAACTAATATTCTCTTGCCAGTAATGTTATTTTGGACTATTCGTGCTTTAAAAAATAACAAGGCCTTACATTTCTGGAGCAATTAACTCTTTACTCTTTCCTTTGCACCTTCAAACACTACCTGCCAGATACTAGGTCAGGGCTTGGAAAAGGGGACAAACTCACTCTTTGCACCTCTGACTTCAAATCACTCCTACAAAACAAACTCTATTAACATAAAAGGGACTCAGATGTATGTTGGGTAAGTTGACAGCCACACTGCGCAGAGAAAGGTCAGAGGGCACCTGCTCTCCAGTTAAAACCCACGCTGCTAATCCCTGGCGTCCAACAGACTGACAACTATCACAGAACTCCCTTCCCATGCCTCCTTCTCTGACTGCAGAGAGCACGGAGCACAGTCTTAATAGAAGGACGCAATCAGTCCCTTAGGCGGACCAAATCCAAGCTTCCATGGCTCAGCTACACAGGCCCTTGCTCCAGATCCCTTTACCACCACTTGGCCCCCAGACCACAGGACCCCGCCCTAAACCGCTGGAGCGGTCGCACTACAAATCCCACGAGGCACCGCGCGCTCGCAACCTGCCGGTCTACGCTCCGCCGCCGCGGACCCTCCTGGGACCTGTAGTCTCCACTCCCCTGATCGCCAGTCAGTACCTGGAAGCGGTAGAGAAATGCTTCGGGCCAGAGGACGAAGTAGGCCGGGCTGATGAGACCGAGTTTGCCGACCAAGGGCACCGCGACGGTGGCGGCGAACCAATAGCGAGTGATAGCCGGGATGCTCCTGAACCAGTCCCCGATGTCCGACATCTTCGCCTCTTAGGTGGCCGGGATGCGCACAGCCGCCCGACTCCCCGCCCCGGCCCCTTCACAACGCGGCCGGCTTCGCGAGTGGAAGGTGTCGAGGCGGAAGCCGCCCAGGTCGCGGTGCAGAAGGCGGAGACCGACGGACGTGGCGCCACCGAATTCGGACGAGCGAGGGAGCGTTCGAAGGCGAAACTTCCCCTTCCGGCAGCCGCGGACGACGTCGACCAGAAGTCCCGCCGCTTAAAGGGCAAGTACAGTTTTTACCCCTTGACGGAAGCTCGACGGCCTGGGGGCGGAGCGATGAGGGGCGGGGCCAGGCGGGATGATGACACGACTGGTGGAAAACAGTAGTTGCCAGGAACAACTGGCTAATACTCCAGCCAATGGCGAGGCTGATCTCCGTCCACGCCGTACCTGGTAATTCAGGTAGGTCGGCTTAGAAGGTGTTTAAAGCGGAAGGAGGAAAACAAAGCCCACGGTTCCTTAGTTGTTCATTCATTCGGCAAGTGTTTGTTGAGGGCTTAGGAAGCGCCGGGTAGGAATCTAGAAATCGGAGATGCTGCTGCTATTGGAGCCTTCGCTCCCGGAGCTTACATTCCAATGGGGTTAGAAAGATAAACAATTGAATAAGATAATTCCAGAATAATAAGAAAAGTATGGAAAATAAACTCGGATGATGGGGTAGAGTGACAGGGTGGCAGCGAGGGAATGTGGGGAGGAGACGGCTACTTCAGATGAGAATGGTCAGAGAGAACTGGGAGGAGGTGATGTTTGAGCTGAGCTAGACCCCCCACCCCCACCCCAGGCAAAGACCTGGAGAGTTTTCCATGCGGAGAAAACAGCCACTCTAACTTGGAATGCCGAAGGAACTGAAAGCAGAAATCATCTTGACTGTTAATCTAGGTCAGCGATTTTTCAGCCAGTGTGCCGCAAGAATTTTTATAAACATGTAATACCTGCTATTTAGTCAGGGACACTAACCTCTTTTCCCTTAGATTGGTTAAAAACAAACAAACAAACAAAAAAGCAGCCAACACAATAGCCAGCCAGTGTGAATGAATCAAAATTATACCTTTTTTTTTTTTTTTTGTCATATCAGCAAAAAATATATTTTTTGGTGTGCCGCAAAATTTTAGTAATTAGTTTTTGTGGGCCATGACACAATAAAGGTTGAAAATCGCTGATCTAGTTCATCAGATGGGACTTAAATTACAGGTAAATGAGAATCCATCTTTTAAAAGAAGAATCTAAAAAGATACAGAATAGAACTTTTCAGATGTAGGTCCTACAGTTTAAGATTGACTAAGCCATTCAGTAAAGACCACCAGAAACACACAAGTTCAACGTATCATCTTGCTGCAGCAAGGGAATTGCAAGCCAGAGGAGGAACCTGTACCATCTCACCAAGCAAAGAGAATAGGATCATTATCGGATTATGAGGAACGGTGGAGTTTTGGTAAAATTTAAATTTGCTTTGATAAGCTCAAAGGGTCATGAGTTCGATTCCTGGCCAAGGGCACACATACCTGGGTTGCAGGTTCTGTCCCTGCCCGGTCACATTGATGGGTTTTTTTCTCTCTCTCCTCTTTCCCCTTCCCCCCTCCCTCACTCCCTCCCTTCCACTTTCTTTAAGAATCAATGGAAAAAATATCTTTGGTGAGGATTAACAAAAAAAAGAGTAGAAGAATTAAAATGCTATTATACAGCTGTATGCACAGAAGGCACATATACAAATATACACACAGTATTTGCTTGAAACAGCAGTTACCTCTAGGAAGGGAAACTCAGGCTGAGAGACAGAGTGGGAAGGAGACATTTTATTGCATATTTTCTTCTACCTTTTAAATGTTGTCCCAACTGTATGTACTATGTGTTTTAAATTTTTTAAAAAACGTAGAAAGATTTGTTTAGAAAGAAACAGGTTCAGTCTCACAAGCTTTAGAAAGATTGAGAAGTACAAAGGATGCCCTTAACTACTATGTCTTCATGCTGTGATTGAAATATATTTCCTATTGTTTTTCTTTAAAAAAAGGACTTTAAAAAACTGGAGGAAGACCAGCATTTAAGGGCACAGTATTGCCTAGCGCTGAGCTTAGCACTGCACTGTTGAGTGATGCTGACAGACAGGGGGCTGAAGACTCAAATACCATCCTGTCACAACAATCATATAGGAACACCATCCTACTGGGATGCCTGCCACATAAATGGCATCTTTCTTCAAGAAATCCAAAGCACATTGCAAAAATGTAATTAATCCTTATGTTAACTAGTACGCAGTTTTGTTAGCACCGTCTTTCAGTTGAAGAATCTATGGCAAGAATGATAATTTATTTCTGTCAAGCCCAGCAGAACCAGTCAGTCATAAAGCCTGGGAGATTTTTAATTTTTTTTATCAGCAACAATTTTTTTAAATGTGTTCTTTTAGAGAGAGAGGAAGGGAGAGGGAGATTGAGCAAAGCATCCATGAGAGAGAGAGAAATATCTATCGGCCGACTCCTGTGTGCCCCCTACTGGAGATCGAGCCAGCAACTTGGGCATGTGCCCTGACCGGGAATCCAAAGGGTGACCTACGTCTCCATGGGATGAGGCTCAACCAGCTGAGCCACACCGGCCAGGGCAAGCCTGGGAAATTTTTAAAATTTTGACACACTGGAATAGGGGACAAGGGGTTACTAAACTGCATTTCCCATTTGTTATTCTGATGTGGATAGGTGTGTGTACATTTGTGCGTACATGTGGGTATACTAAATAAAGACTACCTTCTGCACCCTGTAAAAGAATCAGTCTGGACCTCAGTCTTGCCTCTGTACTTTGCTGATTGTGTGGCTATGGGCAAATCACTAACCTCTCAGCTGACTCATCCCAATGGGAAAATAATATTACCTGCTTCCTACATCAGCTTGTTTGTTGTCTGTTTGAATTGAGAGCCTGCTGTTTACCAAGCTCTGTGCTTGTGCTTTTCAGGCATCATCTCATTTAATGCTCACACTAACAACCCCATTGGTAGGTGCTATTTTTATGAAACTGAGAAACAGAGATTAACTTACCCAAGGTGATATAACTGTAAGTGGTGATTCAAATCCAGGTCTGTCTGTCTTTGAGACCATCTTTGTACCACTCTGCTGCATTTCTATGACAAATGTGAAGGCCCTTTAAAAACTCCAAAGCATCTCATAGGTACTAGTTTTAATCTACTAACCCACCCACCGGAAGCACTCAGTGTTTCATATGTGAATAAACCAGACTGGCTGGACCAGAAATTATATAGGAAGTATTTGGAAGAAAATAATCCCTTTAATATCGATCTTCTCTGAACTAAGGAACCAGAAAACCGAAATCAGAAAAACAGTAATCCAACCAATAATTATTGCTATTCATAATTTATATTCATCAACTCATAGTTTACATTTATAATCAGAACAGTAGTGAATGATATTCAAGATATGCCTTAAGGAAGGAAGGCCTGCAAGGATCTGAAATGCCTGCCTTATACATTAAAGAAAAAAACTGTTCAAGCTCATGTCAGTGTTAGAATGTTGTATTTAAATGCAGTATTCTTATCAGCTCGCGTTGGATCCAAGTCATCATTCATGGTGTAGTCATCCCACTAGAATTAAGGCACAGGCATAGGTATTCTAAAGGTTAAAAACAAAAGCAAGCAAGACCAAAGAACAAACTAATAACAAAGTGAAAAACAGCTAACACGTGCTGTGCACAGGCACCCAGTCAATGGTGGTTCCCACCTCCCACAGATTCACACCTACTTCCTTAACATAGAATTAATTCTCTGAAGGGTTAAGCAGATGGAACCAGTTCTGGGGCACTATTTCACTAACAAAGAACACACTTCTAAGGTCTGTAGATGAAATAGACAATCCATGGTGCATAACTATCTTATCTTTCTCTTTCCTCATGTGGAAAGTTGCTTGCAATATTTTTCAAAGCCATCTATAAATGAAAACAACAAAAATATTTAGGGAAGGGAGAGCAGGGGAAGGATAAATAAAGCAGAAGACAGGATTTTTAGAGCAGTGAAAATACCTATATATGATACTATAATGATGGATACATGTCACTATACTTTTGTCCAAACCCATAGAACATACAACACCAAGAGTGAATCCTAATGTAAACTGTGGACTCTGGGTGATGCTGATGTGTCAGTGTAGGTTCATCAGTTGTTAACAGAGGAACCACTCGGGTGGGGGATGTTGATAACGGCGGAGGCCGTGCATGTTGGGAGATAGGAGGTAGATGGGAATGCTGTATACCATCCTCGTAATTTTCCTGTGAACCTAAAATTGCTCTTAAAACAGCCTTTTAAAAACTAAAATGCTTGGGAAAGATGGTTTTTATGTAGAAATCAGGAGGGACCAAACCACTGACACATAATGAAGTTTGGCAGAGAAGGGGTCAGTTAGGTGCTGTTTCCTGCTGGTCGTCCTCACTGGGCTCTGTGCCTCTTCTCCACATACTGCCCAGAGCGGGCCCTGGAGGAAGGATGTCACGCTCCCCTAGAATATTTTGGTGGACAATGAACGCTTGGCTCAATCAGCTTCCCTTCCTCCCTTAACAGCGATTAGAGGTATTTATTCCTGGTTTACCAGCATCCTGTCAAGCTTGATTGATAGCCTGTCCTCTCAGCCCACATATGTTATTAGGAGCCTGTAATCAGCCTAATTATTCAGTCTTATGGGACATATGCACAGCATCCTCTGACTCCACAGCCCTCTGCTCAGGAAGGCGTTTGGAAAAAGCCACTACCTACAGAGCATAATTTTGAAGATTTAAGCCTCCCCATGGAAGCTTCTCATGAGCTGCCTTATCCTAGCACCTACAGTAGCACACTTAGATATTAATTTCTCTGGCATCAGTTTTGCTAATAATTTTTAAAAGCCCAACTGGCCACAATAGGGGAATTATAAAATTATGCCATATGCATAAGGGGATATTATGCAATTATGGCTAAGGCAGAGGTGGCTCTAGGCTGTGCTTGCTTCTTAAGACAGCTTTGGACGTGATAGAGGTCACGAATTCCACACCTGCCTCCTTTCCTGACCACGTGGAAGGGCTGTAAAGATTGGAAACTTGCTGTCACTTCCCATTCTGCCATGAAATAAAGAGTGTCACCTCTGGTCTCCTCCTTCCTTTAGTCTGGAAGAGGCCTTTT